CTATATGTATCCCAATGTTTGCTAGTGAAACCTCTCTCCTCTGTTTCATTCATTCCTCTTACAATTCTCACACGTGGAATTTGCAGCGACAAGTGGCGAGTACGCCGTCACGGCACCAATGCCACTCAAGCCGCAGCGTCCGCCCTGTTTCGACCCGAGCCAACGTGGGGGTCCGACGGTTCAGTCGTGGGTCTTCACGATGAACGTTTTCTTCGACGCGAACTACGTCGAGTCGGACGCAGCGAAGATTTGCTAAGCTGTTTCGCTGCTGAGGGGCCCCGCCATGGACTGGTGGCGAGTTTATCGTGACGTCGCCACGCGCCTACGAGCCACCGTCGCAAGAAGACGGGCCCACGGGCCCAGCCGTTACCTGGAGTTCATTCTGCGAGACAGCCCAGTACAGCACGTGGGATGCATGGTGTGCAGGGCTTCGGGCGCGTTTCGAGCCGATTGCGGCTTCGATTTCGGCGCGTCATTAGCTGCGCACTTGGCGGCAACTCGGATCGGTTCAAGACTATATGCATGAAGCGGAGCGGGTGGACCGTTACGTCGGAGGGCTAAAGCCAGACATCTCGCACGAAATCATGCTACGCGGCTCTCGAATTTTCAACGAGATCCTCGCGATCGCCGAGAAAATCGACATCCTACGACGACCGAGACCATGGTCCTACTACGGACAACGTCCTCGGGGACCAATCGAGCACGCCACCGTACACGCCGTTGCGACAAATGCAGCTGCCGCAACCGTTTAAGGGGCGCTGCTTTGCTTGCACTAGGCCGGGCCATCGCAAGAGTGAATGCCCAGAGGAGCTGAGGCGCCGCGGAACAGAGCAGGGGCGAGAGTCTCAGAGGCCGGGAAACGCCAGCAGTCAGTAGGAGTTGGCCAACTACTGACGAGACTGCCTGCTCGCCCAACTTCACCGACCCCTCACGAGTCACAGTACCGATTCACGCTACTCGATCGGGCTCGGACGAATAAGGAGGGTACAGCGACGGATTGCCCAGTACTGATTCACGGAAAAATACAGGGAGCAGCAGTGAAGATATTTTATAGATGGAGGGGCAAGTCACAGCTTAGTTAACACCGCGACTGCACGGAAGCTGCAACTGACACTTAGTCGGTCTTTACCGGAGATAGATGCACGCTTAGTTGACGGACGCCGCTGGCCATACGGGAAAAAGTGGAGAGGGTAAAAGTCCGCTGGGGGAAACTTCGGGTTTACACTGGAAATGCCCGTCGACGACATTAGATGGGCACGACATTTTACTGGGGCGTGATTGGTTGCGACGGTACATAACCCGCGAACGACTGGACGACTGATAGCTACACTGTGCGAAGTAGCCGGGTAACTGGGTTCGAACTACCCGCTGGCAGTCGCCTGAGTCTTCAACCGGTCACGTCAACGCCATCACGATGAAACGGGCTGTCGCCGCTGGAGCTGACGTATACGCGGTAGATATCGCAATGGTGGAAGAAGCAGAGCAGTCCGAGCGATTTTCAGAAACTACTAGCGGCAGTACCACCCTAACTATAGGAACTGTTGAAACAGTTCCCGGGGATTTTTCCCGACGACTCATCGGAGGGACTGCCACCTCAGCGGGCGCACGATCACCGAATAGAATTAGAACCCGGGGCACAGCCAACCGTACAGCGACAGTTCAGACTGACACAGCCCGAGCTCGACGAACTAAGGAAGCAGTTAGATTACCTGTTAGAGAAAAAAATCATCCGACCGAGCTCGTCACAATTCGCCGCACCGATCCTGTTCACACCGAAAAAGGACGCAGGGTTTCGAATGTGCATCGACTACAGAGCACTGAACAGGGTTACATTCAAATCGCGATACCCCATCCCCCGCGCCGACGAACTGATAGATCAACTGCAAACAGCACGGGTCTTTTCGAAAATCGACTTACGGGGAGGTTACCACCAAATTCGGGGGTCGAACCATCAGACTGTGCCAAGACAGCATTTAGGACTAGGTACGGGTCATTCGAGTACACAGTGATGCCTTTCGGGCTGACCAACGCACCGGCGACTTTTCAGATGACCATGAATGAGGCGTTTAGACCACTCTTAGATAAATGTGTGATAATTTACCTTGACGACATTCTCGTCTACAGTCGTGACAAGCAGCAGCACTTAGCCGATCTAGAAGCAATATTTACATTTTTAGACAAACACAAACTATTGACCCAGGGTTCCAAGTGCGAGTTCTTCCAGGATAGGCTAGAATTTTTTGGGCACGTCATTTCAGAGGCTGGAGTAGAAATCGACCCGAAGAAACTGGACACGGTAAAAGCGTGGCACCCCCCCGACGAACATCACGGAGCTGCAGAGTTTTTTTAGGGTTCGTTTAATTACGTGCGTCGGTTCGTCCCACCGACATGGCACGCTTAACTGCCCCGCTGGCGGACTTACTGCGGAAGGGAGTCACTTTTACGTGGGGGGAGAAAGAGCATGCTGCCTTCTCTACCCTGAAAAACGTCCTCTGTTCACCGCCCGTACTGCGCATTGCCGACCCACACCGCCCATTCGAAGTGGTTACCGACGCAAGCGACATCGCCATTGGAGCCGTACTGCTACAAGATTTCGGCAACGGTTTACAGCCCATCGCATACGAGTCACGAAAACTGCATTCGCCCGAGAAGAATTACCCGATACACGATCGCGAAATGCTTGCGATCGTGCATGCATTCAAAGTGTGGCGCTGTTACTTGACTGGCGCCGACGTGACAGTACGGACAGACCATAAATCACTACAGTACCTCCGCGCACAACCCCACCTCAACCCACGACAAATTCGCAGGCTCGACTACCTCGAGCCAAATTTTCAATACAAGGTCACCTACAAAAAGGGGGCATCGAACATCGTCGACGAGTTAACCCGGCCCACAGCCCAACTCCACGCCATACTACTCGCCCAGACCAGCCCACTCCTGACGGGCCTAATTACCCACAGTTATCAAACGGACCCATTTTTCACGGGCGGAAATTCGCAGTAGTTTGCAGCGGCAAGAGCAGTCTATTACGTAAAAGCCGGCACCGATCGAATCTAGGTACCAGACTACACACTTCTACGGGAATTGCTGTTACAAGAGGCACACGACGGAGTCACCTCAGGCCATTTCAGAGTAGAGAAAACACGGCAGGAGCTGCAGCGGTATTATTACTGGCCCGAAATGCTGACCGACGTGCAGCGACACGTGGCATCGTGTCCCACCTGCCAACTCATGAAATCATCATGGAAGCGACCGGCAGGGCAGTTGCAGCCGATACCACCCCCAGAGCGTGCTTGGCAGCAGGTGACGATGGACTTCGTCACGGGGTTACCGGCCGGAGCAAGTGGGAACGACGCGATCCTGGTCGTCGTCGATCGGCTGACGAAAATGGCACATTTCGCAGGCTGCAAAAAATCAATCACAGCCGAAGAAACGGCCCGCCTCTTCATCTCAACCATCGTTCGATTACACGGGATACCAGCGGCAATCATCAGCGACCGCGATACGAATTTTACCAGCAATTTCTGGCGGAATCTGTGGCAGCAGTTCGGCACGAGACTGCAGTTCAGTTCTTCGTACCACCCCGAGACCGACGGACAGACAGAACGGACAAATCAGACCATGGAACAGTTAATCCGAGCCACGTGCGACGACCCAACCACCTGGGAACAGCAACTGCCACTCATCGAATTCGCGTACAACAACTCGCCATCCGCCACGACCCAATAGTCATCGTTTTATCTGAACTACGGACAAGACCCTATAGTAACCATGACCCCGAATCCCGACAACCCAGTACCACGGGCGCAACAATTCGCAGAAATATTACAGGCAGCACGAACCAGGGCAGCTGAGGCAATCAAAAGGCCAACGTCATCGCTAAGCGCAACGCCGACCGCCAACGCAGACCCGTCACTTACCGTACCAGCTCGACGACTTAGTTTTACTCGACACTCAAAACCTCCGCCTGCCCATCACCCAAAACTCCGCCCCCGATATTGCCGGCCATTTCGCATCAGCCACATGATCACACCTGTCACCGCCCACCTCCTCCTCCCTGCTGACTGGTACGTCAGCCCATCCTTCCACGTCAGCCTGCTTCGCCCCTACATCCCATCCACCAGCCAACTGGCCCGAAATCGCCCGGCCAGCATGACACGACCACCGACAGTACCAGTCATCACGCCCGAGAATATTCTGAGCCACAGAGTTCGTGACCCACGAGGAGCTCAAAGGGTCGAATTCCTGATCCGCTAGAGAGACCGCACGCCCACCGAGGACAATTGGGTTCCCCTGGACAGAATCGAAAACCACCCTGTCCTCACCGAGTATCTGCGCAGCCGGAATTTCCGGGATGTACATGCGCTTTCGTAAGAAAGGCCTCCTTAGGGGGGAGGTAGTGTAAGGAAAATCCCTTTTCCTTACTTCGCGTCCCTGCTTAGCGCGTACACCACTGTTCCCGCCAACAGCACCCCACAATAATCCGTTACCATACCACTCGCGACATTCGCCTCGACCCCATTCCCGCCACTGTTCACGATGCGACCCAACCTCACGGTTCGGTTGGTAACCCGCGCTCCGGACCTCCGCCTCGACATTCCCCAACCTCGGCACCAGGCCCGTCGCGCACCCCACTTTCCCACACGTTACCGTTACCACTGTAGCTTCGCTATATATTCTTCGCTCAATCCTTCGCTCATTGTATTCTTGCCTCGATAGTGCAAACCTCGCTCGCTCACTCAAATTGCACTCGTAACACCAACCCAAAAACCCTAGACGCGAGAAGGGATTTAGTTGCATTAAATATTAAAAGACACTGCAGAGCATTTTCATATATGCAAAAAACGTACCGGCGTATCACAATTTCTGACTGCACTAAGTCCGGCCCAACAAACGGCATATCCTAACAGCGTGCACACATGCTGCTTTTACTATGTTTAGCTCCATAACTATGTACACGCCACAGATGCATGCATGCATGCATGCACGCACCAACACTACAGGGACAGGACAGTCGCAGTCTTGACCCTTCCCAGAATCGCTTCCTGCATCATCTCCCCATCGTCCTCCATGTCTGCACCATCCACATCATCGTCACCACCACCCTCGTCAGCATCTGCATCATCCACGCCAGCACAACCAATTCGATCGTCCATGTCATCCATATCAGAAACCCCTGTATTTTCCTCGTCACCCCATGTCCCTGATTCTACCCTCTCCACTCCTTCCTCCTCTTCCCACTCTCCATCCCCTCCCATCCCATCTTGTTCTCCCCTCCACCCTTTCTCTCCCTCATCCCCATCCCATTCACCCTCCAATTTTGTGTTCTTCATCCCACGCTCCTCTTCACTCTCCCTACCAACCCTCTGCCTCCCTTCTCCTCTCCCCTTGATCGCTCCTCCCTTCCAACCAGAGGAACAGAAGTCCACGTTGGCCCTCCTGCTGCCATCACCCCAAGCCTTCCTGCAACTCTATCCATGCCTCCCGCCGAACCTCCTGCCGAACCTCCTCCCGAGCCTCCGCCCGAGCCTCCGCCCGAACCTGCAAGGTCGCAGCATAGTGCATCCGAAGCTGGAAGGAGGGTACCGTCGGAGTTTTGGAGGTACCCTCCAAAGAGGAAGATTCGATTTTTTAGAATGGTGTGTTCAAAGTGAATGCGAGGGCAGCAGCGGGTGGAGAGGGAAGAGCGGAGCAGGAGCAGCAGCAGGAGCAGCAGGAACAGGAGCAAGAGCAGGAGCAGGAGGAAGAGGAGGGATGCGAGGACGCTGGTGCAGCTGCTGCTGCTGCTGCAGTCGGTGCTGTTGATGCTGCTGGTGCCTCCGCTGCTGCTGGTTCTGGCCTTGTCCCTGCTGCAGCTGTCCCTGCTGCTGGTGCTGCTGTTGCTGCTGCAGGGTTGCCAGCCCAAGGTGGTTACGAGTGGGGTGTGAGGCATAGGTAGGAGGCACCTGCAACAGCCATCCCATAACCACACAGCAACGACAAGGCCACAAGGCCAGTTCACATGCAGGAGGACACATATATATATAGAGCTAGACAAGCAAGAGCAGGTATATATATGTGACAGTACAAGCAAGGTCAAGAGGAGAGCAAGTGAGGCAAGACAGGTACAAGACCCAACTGAGTGCAGAAGCGCTGATGGTCACAAGGCGCAAGTGCCTTGGTGAACACATCAGCAGTGTTGGCCTCAGAGGCCACGTACGCAAGTCGCAACTGACCACGCTGCTGCAGCTCACGAGCAAGAAAGTAACGGAGAGCAATGTGCTTCGTTCTGTGCTCCAAGCGCTGCTCTCGACACAAGGCCAGCATGGCCTTGTTGTCTACGTACAGCACTGGAGGAGAACGAGGCTGCTCTCCAAGGTCAGTCAGCAGGTAGGTGAGCCAGCGAAGCTCCTGTGCAGCCATGGCCCCGGCGTAGATCTCAGCCTCACAACTGGAGCCGAGAACAGAGGACGAGCGAGTAGCCCGCCACGAGACAGAGCCGGAACCAAGACTGAAGGTGTAACCCTGCGACGACCGCTGCGTAGCCTGGTCGTCAGCCCAAGAAGCGTCCGCGTGCCCAGTGAGGACCACTGGACTCCGCCCTCCAAGCACTAGCCCCATGCCCGACGTACTGCACAAGTAGCGCAACACCCTCTTCGCTGCAGCCATGTGCTCTGGTCGGTGTCTCCCAGGAGCAACATAGCGTGCAAGAATGCTAAGAGGGTATGCAAGGTCAGGTCGTGTGCAGGTCATCAGGTACATGAGGCAGCCAACAAGCTCTGGGTACGGGCCACTCGACTCTACGGACTCATCCGAAGGCAGAGCTGAGAGCGAGTGGCGAGTAGACAGAGGAGTGGCCTGAGGCGAGGAGTACGTGAAGCCGAAGCGCTGAAGGACCTGCTGCACCATGTGTGACTGAGTCAAGGTAATGGTGCGGCGTGCTCTGTCCCGAGTGATCTGCAAGCCAAGGTAGCTGCGCAGTTCACCCAGGTCTGTGCACGTGTGTCTCTTCTGCAGCTCGGACTTCACGTAGGCTAGTCCAGCAGTGTCAGCTGTGGCAAAGACCAAGTCGTCGACGTACACGAGGATGTAGAACGGCGGCAAAGAAGTGTCGGTGCGCAGAAACAACGACGGGTCAGCAGTAGAGGGAGCAAACCCAAGAGCCGCAAGCGTAGTCCTCAGTGTGTCGTGCCACTCACGCGGTGCCTGGCGGAGACCGTAGACTGGCCGTCGGAGGCTCCACTGGGTGCCAGGAGGGAAAGTCCCAGTGAAGCCAGGTGGACGGCGCAGCCAGATCTCCTCGTGCAGGCTACCCTGCAAGAAAGCAGTGCTGAAGTCAAGAGAGTGGAGCTCGTAGTCGCGCTGAGCGGCTATGTGCAGCAGCACCCGAAGAGTGGTCATCTTCGGGGTGGGAGAGAAGGTCTGAAAGTAGTCAACTCCCTGCCGCTGACTGAAGCCACGAGCGACGTACCGCGCCTTGAAGACAGGTGGAGAGCCCGGCGGCCGCTTCACCCTGAAGATCCACATGCCACTGACGATGTTCGCCCCAGGAGGGGGCACCGCGTCAACGTAGGTGCCTGTGGACTTCCAGGACGCCATCTCTGCATCCATAGCTGCCTGCCACTGAGAGGAGTAGGGACCCTCTACGGCCTCCGCGTAAGAGCGCGGAGTCGGGATGTCTAGTGCATCCGGGTCTCCCTCAGGGGCAAGTAGTACGGACGCGAGATGAGGTGAAGCAGCAGCCAGACACTGGAACTCCTCCTGCCTGTCCTCAAGGACGTCCGTGCCAAGAGCACACTCACCCCCGACGGACGGAGGACAGACAGACGCAGACTCAGCAACAAGACCGGCAGCGTAGTCTAGACGACAGCGAGCAGCAAAGTCGACGAGCTCAGCAACAAGCGCAGACGCAGCAGTGGACTCAAAAGAGGGGTCAGTGACAACAGTAGCAAGGAGACGTGTGACAGTAGGACTAGCAGCACGAAGAGAGTCGGACTCTGGGTCGGTAAGTGCAGGAAGGGAGGACTCAGGAGGAGAAGGCAAAGGGGCACGCAGAGGAGCAGTGGACGGACGCAAAGACATCCGGTGCGTGCCAGGGACAGGAGGAGGACGCTGACGCGAACCGCGACCACTAGCGCGAGCAGCACGAACAGGCGACGCAGGACGAGACGCAGGTTCACGACGCTCAGCAAGACCTCCAGTGGGACCAGTGTAAGGAGAGGGAGCAGGAAGTGGGAGGCGGGCTCTAACTGGGACTGTGACTGAACAGGCGGTGGACACGCTGCAGGAGGAGGAAAGACCAAGAACCTGCTGTAGGAGTGGAACGAAGTACGGCCGAGGCCGCGCGGCGACTCCAGACACAGCAGGGACAGCACCCTCAGCAGCAGCACCAGCGCCAACAGCACCTCCAGCGGCAGGACCTCCAGCAGCACCAGCAGCACCCGCAGCAGGACCACCGCCAGGAAGGACAGCAGCAGTCTCAGCACCAACACCCGCAGCAGCTCCAGCTCCAGGCGGACCCGAGGGCCCAGCAGCTCCGGGACCAGCGGCACAAGTACCCTCAGCAGCCGAAGGAGCTCCAGCTCCAGCAGTACGTCTCCAGCGGCGAGCAAACCACTCGCGCAGCTCCTGTGGAGAGAGGGGCTCCCGCCGAGGCGAAGCACCCGGAGAACCGCCAGGTCCCGCACCGCCAGACGCCACAAGGGGAGGTCCAGTGGCCGCAGGCTCCGCAGCTCCAGGCTCAGCAGCTCCAGACGCAGCACCCCCTGGCTCAGCACCCCCAGTCGCAGCACCCCCAGGCTCAGCACCCCCAGACTCCGCACCCCCAGGCTCAGCACCCCCAGTCGCAGTACCCCCAGGCTCAGCACCCCCAGACTCAGCACCCCCAGGCTCAGCACCCCCAGGCTCAGCACCCACGCGCGTAGCACCCCCAGAGTCAGCACCCCCAGGCTCAGCACCCGCAGCAGGACCAGAGTCACCAGCAACCTCGACCGGCTCGACTGCGTCTACCTGGGACACACCTGAAGGGGCAGGACCCTGAGGGGGAAGGGGGTCTACCGGGGGGGGGACCTGGCACAAGGAAGTGCGGTGGCGGGGGGAGGGAAGGAGTGCGGTAGGGGAAGAGGCGGTAGAAGGGGACTGACTCGTCGAACGTGACGTCCTGGGAGGACAGAACACGACGAGAGGAGGGGTGGTAGAACTGCCACCCTGGGGCGTCAGGGGGGAAGCCGAGGAAGACACAGGGAGCAGCACGAGGGGACAGCTTGTCCGCAGACAAGTCGCGGACAAACGCCCGAGATCCCCAGACACGGAACGCAGACGCATCCCCGACCTTCCCCGTCCACAGCAGAGCTGGGGAGGTCTCCGGCCGGGAGACCCTGGGGTGAAGGTTGATCTGATGCGCCGCGTACCGAACCGCAAACGGCCACAGAAAATGGGGGGCAGCCGCATGCATCATGGACGTACGAGCGACGTCCATGACCATGCCAATGCGGCGCTCAGCAATCCCATTTTGCTGTGGAGAGTCCGGAAGCGTAAAGGTCTGGCGGATGCCTCGTGCACGACAGTAGGCTCGCAGAAGGCCAGAGGAGAACTCTCCACCTCGGTCAGAGTGCAGACGCAGAACAGGAAAGTCCGAGCCGAAGCTCCTCCTGAGCTGGAGACGAGCTGCGCGGATCCAGTCGATCAACACCTCAGTGACATCACCCTTGCTGCGCAAGGGGAAGACTGTGGTGTAACGCGAGTAGTCGTCAACCACCAGCAGGAAGTAGCGCTCGTGACCCTGCCCACGGACGCGGGCCGGGCCCCACACGTCCATGTGAAGCGTCTGCAGAGGAGCCTCTGTCGGGGGAAACTGGGAGGAGTGAGGGGCAGCCCGGAGCCGCCCCTCGACACAGGGGACACAGGAAGGTCCGGGTTCCCGAAGGAAGGGGAGGGAGAGACCGGGGAAGACCAGAGACAAGGACACGGGAAGCCATGCCCCGAAGACGAGGCAAGGAGGGGTGGCCAAGACGGTGGTGCCACAGGAGAGTCTCCTGAGACAGGCGGCGACACGAGCAGGGGGCAGACTCAGGACCAGACCTGGACGCAGCAGCAAACACCTGACCCGACGCAGCTACCTGGCCAGACGCAGGGACAGGAGGAGACTCAGTGGTCAGGGTGTAGAGACTCGACCCCGGCCGACGCGAAAACGTGGCCAGGTGTCGGCCTGTGCGGGCGTCCGAGCAGTGGGTCACCCGCTGACTCGCAGGAGTAAACTGGTGAACCCCCGCATCCTGCAGGTCAGCACCACTCACCAAGTTCGTCGAGAACGAGGGGAGGTACAGACCAGACAAGGTGCCCGAGGGGGCAGCCGGACACGGGAGGACAGTGGAGAAGTGAGAGAGGACAGGACCCCCAGAGGGGTCAGCCAGGGAGACTGCAACCGGCCGGCCAAGCGGCGTGAGTGTGGTGCGGTCTCGAAAGAAGGAGCGAGAAGCCCCTGAGTCAAGCGTGAAGGTGAGGGAGGCCGAAGCCGACGCAGTACCTGAGAGCGCAGCCTCACCAGTACCTGAGAGTGCAGACGCACTGGCACCTAGAG